CAAAATACATAAATATTAAGTACAATGCAGACATTTTACTAATACATGTTTTTTTAGTTTCACTTTACTCTTATTTTATACTATATATCTGTTTCTTTTATTCTTATTTCATTAATTTACCTTTTTTTCTTATATAACTTTATAAAATACATTAATTTTAGCTTTTGTTGATCTAACCAGTATAAAGCTTAAATATATACCACACCGTAACCATTCCATACTACTGTTATTTTAAACACTAAAATAATAATAAAATAAATAACAATAAAATAAAATAATAATAAGATAAATAATAATAAAATTAAAATTAAATAATAATAAAAATAAAGGTCAACAAAGTGCTGAACATATCGCATCTGACAATAACAGAAAATAAAAATAGTCAAGTAAACGAAAAAAGATATAAGATCATAAAAACTAGCTCAGACTTTGAGCTAGTCAGGGTCATCCACACCAGACCCTCTAAACCAGCGGTCACCAACCTTTTTAAGGCTGAGGGCTACTTCATGGCTACCGAGTCATAGGAAGGGCTACCAATACTGACCTATGAACTGGAGGGATCAGTGATCACCTACAGTAAATCTCACCCATAAAAACTCATTTTTATTCTTATTTTATTATTTTATTCATTTCTAATTTTCTTTTTAATGTCATTTTGAAACCACTGAAATATGATGAAATAGTTAACATGATGAAATAATACATAAATGATTAAAAAGAAGAGCAACAGAATAAAAAAAATTTAAACTTAACCCACTGAGTGAGGTCTTCTGTTTTCAGAAGACGAAGAGGGCACCCCATGTGGCCCTCAAGGTGACGCCTGCTCTAAACTGTTTCCACAAAGTTAGGAGCATGGAATTGTCCAAATTGTCTTGGTAATGCTAAAACATTCAGAGTTCCTTTCACTGGAACTAAGAGGCCGAGCCCAGTTCTCGAAAAACAATCCCACACCATAATAACCCGTCTACCAGTGTTATGCATGAACACGTTCATTGAACGGCATTCACTGAATATGTTCATATTTTTAATAAACAGCGAACTGAATGGATCAGTAATGTGAAATAAAATTAAGTAAGAACGGGACCGTAATAAGTACAGCAAAACTGCACTTATTACGGCAAACAGCATAACAGACCAAGATGTCCACTGCTAGTACTATTCTGCGCAATTCAGACCCATCTACTGTTATTTCTGATGCCAGTTTTGCAGGGTGTTTGGTGGAGTTTTATGAACTAACAAAGGAAGACTGGGGCAAAAGAAACTCAAGTTTTTGTGCAAACTGTGCCCACCGGAACTTAACAAAAAAGTCTGTACGTTAGCCATGTCCACTTCAAATTTAAAGTGACACATATAGTTAAAGCATCTGAGCTATCTTGAGTAATATCTGCTACTAAATGAGGTACGTAAGAAATCATTTTTGATACAGATCTTTTCAGCAGAACCTGAATGTACCTGTATGTTTCTGAATTTTTGTTTAGTTGGGCTAAGGCTTCACTGCACACAACATATATCTTGACTGCAATGATTATTATCCATTTCTTTCTATATATTACGATCACACATTTAAAGGGTGAAATATTAGTTTTTATTGTGTAGGATTGTGGCCTAATTTACCAAATTAACTTGAACTAGTTAATTTATAGGTTTGTGAACTTAGTTAATTTTTGAAAATGTGAACTATAAATGTGAGCTAGTTCATTTTCATTAGTGTGAACTGAACTTCAAGCTGTTTTTTGTTTTGTTTTTTACTGTGAACTGATACAACATTGTCCTCCACCAACGTTTTTACTTGGCACAGTACAGCCAGATAAATACATTTCTCCTGGTAGCCACCAAACACAGATTCATTCATCAGATTTCCAGATATAGAAGCATGATTCACCATTGACTCCACAGAGTGCATCTCCACAGCTCTGAAATGTTGGTTTTCACAGTACTTCAGTTTGAGTTTTTGCAGCACTAGTGGCTCTTCTTTTCGACAGTAGGCTGACAGGAAAGGGGGTATGAGAGAGGGGGAGAGACATGCGTCAAAGGACCACAGCTCGGACTCAAACCCGGGTCGGTTGTGTCGAGGACTAAGGCCTCCGTACATGGGTCGTGCGCTTTAACTACTGCACCACCTGCACACCCCGCATCTATCACTTTTGATTGCACATGCTGATGTGTGGTTTGGGTGCAGCTGCCCGACCAAGAAAGCCCATTCCATGAAGCTCTCTGCGCACTGTTGTCTGCGCAAGCTAATGTGAAGGCCATATGAAGTTTGGACGTGTGTAGTGATTGACTCTGTACAAAGTTGCCAATTTCTTTGCCCCGCTGACCCTATTCCATCAATTAACGTGGCCTATCACTTTGTGGCTAAGTTGTTTTAGTTACCAAACACTTCGGTTAACCATAGAATATTTAGGAGCAAGGAAATTTAAAGACTGGATTTGTTGCATAGACATCCTAACAGTTCCATGCTGATACTCACAAAGCTCCTGGGAGTGACCCATTCTTTTACAAATGTTTGCAGAAACAGTCTGCATGCCTCAGATGTTGATTTAATACATTTTGGGCCATGGAAAGAATTGGAACAACTGATTACAAAAATTTGGATGAGTGAGCAAATACTTTTGGCAATATAGTGTATCGGTAAGACATTAGAACAGCCAGTCTAATGAGAAGCCCTGTGCTTTTTAAAGAGGGAGCTGATGACGGTGAAAGACAGTTTCCAAAATTCTACATCCTTTTTTTTCTTACACTACACTCAAACACATTCCAGTATGCTTACATTTGCTCAACATAGTAATTATGTTAATGAATGAGAACAGTTTAGCATTCTCCATAACTCCTCTCCTAACATTACCCTCAACTCTCTGTCTTTTCCTTTCAAAATATGGAGCAACCAAAATATGGCAAAGGTGAGCATATGTGTACGAAAAGGAGGAAAAACTGAGAATGTGAAATTTAAGGGTGAGGTAACACATCTATCTGGGCTCATATGGCTTATGTAGTGCTGGGACTTCTCAAAGTGTCAACTTGTGCTGTGTTTCTGGCTCCTCTTCTGATCCCTCAGGAGCAGGCTGCAACCAAAAGTTTGACCAGGAAGTCAGTTGTTTGCTTGGCCAAAGCATTTCCTCTACCCTTATCAAGCTGACCTTCATTAAGGAGGACTTTTGCAACATCAACAGGAACCATAGCCTCACTTCCCTGTATGAGGTAGAAGGGGGTGCTGGCATGTTTAGATGTATTATATGCAAAGACAACTTTTAGGCAAAGCCGTGCGGCACAGCAGGGTAATTAGTGGGATCGTTTTCTCAATGAGACCAGGCAAGAGTAAATTTTGTAAAATACAAAACAGCATCCTAATTGGATAACATCCTAATTTTCTAAAAGAAAGAACATTTTCTTTTATTTCACAGTTAAATATATGTATTAAAAACAAGTGATACGTTGTGTTTTAATATAACAACTGCTGACATGAAATATTATGATAGATTTAAAAAAAAAAAACTCCAAGAACCCTTTTTCATGCAAAGCATTTTAGCTAACATCCTTTAAAAAATAGAAATCTATTGCTCCACTTTTGTTAGTTCTGATTCTTCTTCAAACATAAATAAATATAAAATATTATTTCTGTATATTTCTTACCCAAATAATAAGGCATAGGGGATGTATTTTGCATGATATAAACACATATTTTGTCTTTTCATGTACTATAATTTAAAGACTGAACAGATGCAACACTACAGTTACACCACTAGAGGGTAGTAGTGTTGATAAGCAAAGTTCAGCTCACAACAAAATCTATGCAGTGGTTTGTAAAAATGTTGCACTGTAAATTGACTGATTTTACAAAGTACTTTTTAGACAAATAACTGATCTTTAAAAGTTGTTTATGTTAAAGCCAAATTGATGCGTTTACATGTCAGCAGCCAATATGGGGTTAGCGCCTTGATCAAAAGCACAGTCTCATATAATAGAATTTAACTTTGTCCTTTTAAATCATACAACTTGATCTAGCTTCTTTGGTGTTTACCATATAAGCAAACCCTCTCATGTGTATCTTTTTTCTTAAATAATCAGTTTAGAAATGATCTAGGGAGCAAAAAAATGAGACATATATTTAATTGGATTCCAGAATCCAAATGTAAATCCAATGCAATTCAGCTTATCTGAGATGTGCAAGGAAAGTCCAATCCATGGAAGCTCCACCTCACAAACTGCAGGACTTAAAGGACTAAAGCTACAACATGGGGATCCCAGTAAACCTACACTGGAATAAATCCAAATCTAGAGGAGTCATTTTTTCTTAAAATAAGAGCATTTGTTCTTGGATTGAGGAGATAAAAGAGACAGTTTACACTTGCCAATAAAAGGAGTACTTTTATTCTTAAAATAAAATAATTAGATAGTATGCACTTGAAATAAGGCAATGAAATTGTGTTTTCTTATTTCAAATATAAATTGTCTTGTTCCATTGGCAAAGTTTCTTACTTACCACCTTATTAAAAGAACAAATGCACCTATTTTAAGAAAAATGACTTATTTAGATTTCAATTTTTTCCAGTGCAGCATGATCTCTGGTTTTCCAAACAACAGTAAACATTGCAGAAGTGATGCAGTGGAAAAATGATCTAGAAATAAGTAAAAATTTCTGAAATTAAGTGCATTTACCCTTAATCTGAGTGTGTAAATGAGATGGTTTGCCAATTGAATGAGTATTTTTACTCTTAAAATAAGACAATGCAATTTTGTTTTCTTATTTTAAATCTAAATTGTCTTGTTTCATTGGCAAAATGTCTTTTTTACCTCCTCAATCCAAGAACAAATGCACTTATCTTAAGTAAAAATTAATTCTCTAGATTTTGACAGCAACACTATGAGGCAGTTGCTCATGTTATGTATCACAACCATTTATTGGTACTCCTTACAACCATCTAATATATATTAGAATTTATACACAAAAAAATTGGATTATAGAAAAATAATCAACGATCACTGAATGAATTTGTCACGAGTTTTATTGGCACTTCAACCACATCATCATCACTGAACCTTTTAAAATCATCTGGACAAAAAATTGCAACTGATAAAAAAACATCATCACAATGTCATTTTCGTAAATATAAAACATGTTGACAGGCCATTATGAGAAAATAATATATTGTTTGAAATACTTTACCATTATTACCACTGTTTTCCTCTCATCAGCGGCCAAAAACACTGATACAATAAAAAGTAGGCAATGGAAATCCTGCTGTCTTACATTATATGCCCTTTTTATATCTCTTGCTAGTTATAGACCTAAGAATTCTCACTTGGAGCTGGATATTCTTAAAGAGTCTGTTATTCTTTAACAGCATTAGCAGTATGTATGTATATAATGCACAATTGGCAAATAACAGGGAAATCCATTCAATGTTTCACTAAAGGAGAAAATAGAGCGAATAGAGTGAAAAATACAATAGTCATGTCATTTCTGTAAATTCCAACAATTTTACAAGTAAACACCTTTTCTGTACAGAGCCTATACAATATTTAGTTTTTTTTGTTGTTACTATATGATTGTTTTCAATTTCCTGAATGTAGTTTTAGCATTTATAATTCTCATCACTTCCATTACATGTTGTGCTCAATCACTGAATATCAAAAAAGGACATGAGCCTTTCTCAGTTACACATGATCCCAATCTTCAAGCTCAATCTAATATGAGACTATGAATAATGCTGTAGGTGGTTTGGACCCATTCCTTACGATATGATCCAACTTCTGTCCACTGGGTGGCACTTAGCACACAGCATGAGTTCTGTTTTTTATTCATACATTGAATTAGCCAGACCTGTCTGCTTGAAGGTCTCTGCCACCTGTTTGGAGTGCTGCATCTTAGCTGACAGTGCCTCAAAAATATCGTTCTGATCCACGGCAGTTGCTGTCCGGTAAATGAAGGTCCCCACCGACTCAAGGCCTCTCATGCCCAGATTAACCCCAAATCCTGGAGGGCAAATAAGAAAGATGTGAAAATATTTTTCACAACAGGCATTTTTAAAACATTACAGGCAACACATGTGGAACATCTGATTTATCCAAATTCTTAAGAAATATTAAGAAGACATAAAATAGATGTCATATACAAGAAATATTAAAAACGGTTACCTATTGAAGGTTTATATATATATATATATATATATATATATATATATATATATATA